TTGGCATTGAAAAAAATTTTTTTTTGGTTTTATGCCACACCTGACAGTGCTCAGGGTTTTCTCCTGACTGCGTGCAGAGGAATCACTCCTGGCAGGTCTTGGGGACCATATGGGATTTGGGGGATTGGACTCTGATCAGCAGTGTGCAAGGCAGGTGCCCTACCCACTGTACTATCGTTCCGGCCCCAAGCATGTGAAATTTTAATTTCCTTTACCAATTTAACCACTCAGAAGAGTACAGAGTACAGAGCCTGGAGTAAACACTGTGCACCACCAGGCATGGCCAAGAAAACAACTAAAACAAAAACTGGAAAGATGTGACAAATGCAAAAGAGAAAAGGAAGGAGGAAATTGGGAAGAAAAGTAGGTCTCAGCAGTGGCAGAGATGAGCCATGAAATAAGTAAAATGAAGATAAATCTCATCAAGATAAAAGAGATGAAGCAATCACAAAGAATGATAGAAGGATGGTGAACTGAGCTTTTCATGTCCTTGAATTACATTGTAGGAACAAAAATAGAAGGCTGAGAATATGTTAAGCGAACAGTGAGGGCCAAATGAAAAATTATGAGATAAGCTTAGAAGATGTTTGGAGGAAGAGCTGATATTCACCCTGAAGCCTTACTCTGCAATTCTAGGTTAATTCTTCACAATCCAAAGGCCAGCAGGCAGAAATAGCCTGGCAAGGTACCTATGACGTATTCAGTATGCCAAACACAGTAACAACAAATCTCATGATGGAGACGTTACTGGGCCCGCTCGAGCAAATTGATGAACAACGGGAGGACCATCCTTCCTAAAAGTCTTAATACAATCACAGCTTGGTGCTGCTTCCTTGAGTTAATCTACAATATCTTGATTTGATTTTGACTATCCTGAGGCAGTGGTCTCATGGTTGAATACAGGCATTAAATTTAGGTTCTTCTAATTTGCTTTTGAAATAATTAGCTTAACTTTATTGTGAAATTTGTAATAGATTTTACTCCCGTTAAAATATTATAGTTTTAAAAAGACCATAATGAGAGAGTGACTTTAAGGCATGGGCCCTGTATCTTTCACAGTGCTAAATGATTTATGAATGTTTATTTTTCAAAAAATCTTTTCATGAGTAAATTGCTTCCAGTTATAAATGAGAAACACAAAAATTGAGCATCTTTTTTCAGGTTCCTACTGTTAATAGTAAAGTTAGGTTGAAATTCCATCAATAACGCCCAATTTGGTATTTTTAACTCTTTATTTACTATTGATCCCTGGTACTCTTTAAAGAAAGGCATTAAGGTACAGAGATAGAATCTGCTACCACTCATGATAATGGTAGAAAGTATTTTAGCTCTTTATGCCAGGAGTTTATATATACTTTTATGAATCATCATTACATTCTTGTTATATAGAAATCATTGGAATATTTTGTATGTGAGATAATTAAGATTGAAGAGATCAAATAACTTTTAGAAAGTCTTGGAACAGGTAACAAGATACTTCGAAAAACTGAAGTGCCAAGTCATTAATACCCAAGTGGCAGTTAATGGAGGATTTCAAGGGGCCCAGTTTTGGCCTAGAGAGTAGACCAAGTTGAGTTGGGGAATCAGTATGATTAAAGGGGCGAAGGTCTGTTTTAGGGTAGGATGTACTAAAGAAGCAGATGGAAAATTGGAGACAAGAATGGTAGGGAACGAAAATAAGTGTTGCCTAAAGAGAATAAAAGTTGCTGTTTCTCTGATGCATTCAAGTCATATAATGAAGGAAAAGATCTGGTAGAGGAAGAAAAATCTAGTGTATTGAGGGAACATTAACAGATTTTTTTTCAGATATTTGATGTAGATAAAATGATTGTTCCCCAAAGTGATAGTGCCTTAAGTTTCTTACATTATTAAAAAAAATAAAAATCCAGTATATGGGGTTTAAAATTCAAGCCTGTTAGAGCATCTAAAGTGTTTTTCCAAATGTGGGTAGCCCTAGAGAGAATGCGGAAAATGTTGGTGGCCTGAAATGAGTCTTGTCTTTTTAACTTGCTGGTGAGTGGATATATGCTTGGCAGCAACCAAACCAGAAGAGATCTTTGTTCCTTTGGCTTTCATTTAGAAACTATTTTGCATTACAATAAATCAGTCTCTTTAGCATCAGGTCCCTGGTGATCTGAGTATTCAGTTACAGTACCTGATAAAATCATGAATATCCTGCTAGTTGGTTTATGTACATCCTCTACTCTCCAACAGTGAGCCTTTTAGAAAATTGCAGTCATTAAGAAAAGGGAGTCTTTATTCCTTAGTGTATAGATGGGTATTTTTGAACAATGGTTAAAGAAATGTATTGGGGGGGAGGGTTTAAAAGAAAAAAGTATCTTCTTCCTCTCCTTTCTATTCTTTTTGCCTGTTTTTAAAGACATTTCAATTTGAATGTGTCCCTTAAGAAAGAAATCTGCATTCAAGTAGCTAATCAAGTGATGATTCCTTATGAAAGTTTAAAGGGTACAGGACAGGAATATTTGTGTGTGTGTGTGTGTGTGTGTGTTGTTTTTTGTTTTCCTTTGCTGTTACCCACCTTAGATTTGGCAAAGACTGAGAAGTACTACTCTGGGCTAATATCTATGCCATGGAATTTTTTTCTTCAGCATGTTTCCTAGGCAGGTGGAACTTTCACTTGAGATATCCTGGGGAGTTTATCAGCCTGGACTTGTTGACACCCTAGAAGGGCCAAGACTGTAGGGAGTTGGCTTTCAGGCTCTCCACAGTGTGTGGTACTGAGCTTCAGTTGCTTTGTCTAGTCGTCCTGATTACTTGGAAGTACCTTTTCTTTATTTCTTAGAATCAAAACCATCTGAACTTGAATTATGGTACTTCCAATTTGTGACTTTGGGTGAATTCATAACTTATCTAGTGTCAGGTGTTGTGCCTTTTTAATTTTTGTTTCTGTTTTGTTTTTTTTCACTTGTGAAACCAGAACAAACTTAACCAGGAAGTTTATGAGTTATCCTCTGAGACCTACTTTTAGAATTGTTTGAAAAGATTAACCATCATGCTTTTAAAGGACTTTGGCAGTGGTACTTGGGTAGCAGGCATTTATTTATATGGCCTGTTTTCATGTCTAATTGTAGTCATTTGCTCAGCAGCATATGGTATTTGAGTCTTATTACTAGTGCTCATCAGGATGAAATAGAACTGTTGCTCTCTTATGTGTAGGGCTGTATATAAGTTCTTCCTCAGGAAGTTAAGATGGATGTAAACAACTGAGGGAGAAACAGGAGTGGTGCTATAGCAATGGTGTAACAGCTTTCTTTCTGAAGCTATGACAGTCTAATGAAGAGGATGATTGTTTGGTTCTTTGAAAGAGTGCAGAGAAGGGAAATTTCTACAAGCTAGTGTCAGAATTATTAGTATCAGCTAAACTAATAGCCTACAATTACAGGTAAAAGTGAAATCTTCAGTTAGACTATTGTTTTGTCTACAAGCGAGCAATGAGTTGGATGGATTCCAGTAAGCACTTTTAAAAAATAATAATTTTGTGTAGAAATCATGAAAATAATGAACATTTTGAAAGTATCTGCCGGGACTGTTCACAGTTCTTATTTAAATGTGTTCATTATGTTTTGGTAAAAGATTTGAAGGCCCACAGGGTAGGTTTTGTTCATTGATGTTTTAAAAGAAGGGCAGTTTTTTGTTATTGGTGGTGTTCTTCTTTGGATTATTAGTTTTGGATCACACCCAGCAGTGTTCAGGGCTTACTCTTGCCTTTGCACTCAGGGATCACTCCTGGCATGGTCCAGGGAGTGATAAGGGGTGCTGAGAATTAAACCTGGGTCAGTTGCATGCAAAGCAAACACCCTACCAACTCTAATATCTCTCCAAGTTCAAGATGGTCAGTGTTGAGAGAAGGAACAGCTGCGTTCTTTTGTTCTTTCCCAGCGTTGTTTTCCCATTTCAGAATGTGTTCCTTTTTGTGAGTGAAACTCTCCAAATATTTTCTTGTTAGGGCATTCATTTTGGTATTGATTTTAGACATTCTCTAAAATGTTACTAGACCTGCTTTCCTGACCTGCTTTTGAAAATTAATAAGTGATGGGGAATTGCTTTCACATAGTAGGCAAGGCAAAATTCGGTGATGACATTTGTTGTCATGGTGTTAGAGGAAGGTAACAATTCTATCACTTAATGTAAAAGTAAAAGCAAAGTCTGGACTAGGTAGAAAGGTAAATGTTCTGTAGTGGTTCTGATTTTGGGAGAGGTAAAATGATTCATCACCATATCAGTGGTGTGGATTATTTTGAATAGATGGTCTGCATCTAAATGTCTGTATCTTGTAGTTCATAGGTATTTCTCCAAAGGTCATGCTTTCCACAAACTGTCTACTATTGGTATGATTTTAAGTGGAAATTTTCATTTCTGCATCATTTATATTTAGTGTGGTTCTGATTCTATGCATACAGACACTGATAAATTGACATAAGCCAGAAAAATCTAGGAAGGAAAAGAGGTAATAATAATCCATTAACTTGATTCTCCTCTATTTAAGCCATTCTGGTAACTGAGAATGTATGTGTGTGTACATGTGTGTACGTGTGTGTACAAGTGTGTGCTTGCCTGTGTACTAGTGTCCTTGAGCATCATGAAAGTTTACTGGTGTATTTCCCAGATCTTTGGGATTATTCATTCTATTCTTTCAACTTGTTTTCCTAAATGACCACAAACCCAAGAGAAATATTTCACGTTCACACATGTAAATATAGAGAGATAAGGTAGTCAACAACTCACAAGTATATAAGGCAACCGTGAATTATTTCTAGTTTTAACTGTTTTTCTTAAAGGGTAACTTGTCACAGTAGATCTTCTTTAGTGAGAAAAAAAAACTTGAATTTTCAAAAAGATATTACTAGGATTTTTGATTTATATTTACATATGAAAAATGATTTTGAAAATGATTCGCATAACTTTTTGAATGTTATAACTTCTCTATCATGCATTTACAAATAGTTTTTAGATATATGATATGTTGTTTATTTTTGTAGTTAAAACAGAGCCAATGAGCAGCAGTGAAATAGTTTCAACAACAGCAGACGGGTCTTTAGAAAATTTCTCAGGTTCAGGTAAGGAATAAATATTAGATTTTCACATCAATACAAAGCATTGTTCCCCAAAGTTTGTGTACATGTAAATGTGTGTATATGTGTGTATGTGTGTGTTATTTATATGATACAACTTTCTTTCAGATATATAAATGAATTCCTATATTTATTATGATGAAATATTTTCAGAAAAGAGTATTTTATAAAAGATAAAAATCAAAACAAGTTTGTTTACCTTTCTTCTAATTTATCTTGTGTCAGTTGTGTCTTTATTTTTTCATTTCTTTATATGATTTTTCCAATCATACAGATTTATAAGGCAGAATTGACTGATAACTTCTGAGCAGGCAAACCAAAACATCCTAAGTAATTTTCAATTTTAGGTCTAAGTTAAGCAGAATTGATATATCCTTAAATCCTTAGCTTGCATTTTAATTTCCTTCACTTTAGTAAAGCCTCCTTCCACCAAACAAAATATTCCAATTTCAGGGGCCAGGGTGATAGGTAGGTTGCTCATTCAGGTTCTGTTTCCAGCAAACTAGATTGTCCCCCGCAACCTTGCCAGGAAATGATCTCTGAGCACAGAGCCAGGAGAAAGTCCTGAAAACTGCTGGGTGTGACCCCCAAACCAGAAAAAATGTCCTGATTTCACATTTGTGATAATAAAATTTCTGACTAGAAAGTTATTATGACATTAAAGTAATTGTGAAGATCTTGATTTTTGTGTATTTGCTTAATTTTTCAACTTCTCCTTTCTTTTAATAATTATATCAGAAGTTATCTCACAATTTTAACCCTTGTGCTGTGCTCATAAAACCTCTCAAATGGAAATGCTATCCACTGATAAATTTGAGATTAATGTAGCTCTTAGGATTGTTTAATACATAATAACAAAAAGAAACCATACATAGATATAAAATAAATGCAGCATACAAGTTTTACATTATGAATACCATGAAAGTCATAAAAAATATCAAAGGGGTTTATAATCATTTCTTAATACATTTATTAGGATATGACTTCTGTCAGGAGGTATGCTTGGTGCTGTTACAGAGTCACAGATGTGTAAGAATATTCTTGATTAGTGGTTTAATGAGGTGCACAAGTGACCATTGAAGTTTGATAATGCCAGAAGGAAACCCAGGGATTTCCAGGAACACCAAAATTGAGCCTACGTGCATGGGGGAGAGTGGCATGGTAAAGATGGTTTCCTGGGGGAGAGATCTACACTCAGCCTTGGAAAGTGGAAAGTATTAAAGCCCATAGAGACTTGGGTAGGAGACTGAACAGAGGGAGCCGTTTGCAGAGGAAGTCCAAGTCCCAGACTCTTGACATCTGACGAAATCATTAGTGGTTCTACTTTCTCAGCAGGAATGGTGTGTGCAGAGAAGAGGTGGGGAACAGAGTCAGCCACGCATGTGGTGTTTGTATTTTATTCTGAGAATAATGGAGGGCATCAGAGGAAGAGGGTCTCAGGATTGTATTCACAATGTAGAACATTACCATGGCATGATGGAGGGGAGATGGGTGAACTGGAATGGAAAGATCTGTTAGAGACATTTTTTCGTTGATTTACATAAAGAAATGTGGAAGACTCTCAAGGTGCATGGGATGGTAATGGAGTAAATGTGTGTGTTTATTAAAATAAGTACAAAGTTATTTTGTCATTTAGCAGTGCAGAGAGGATAAGAGTGCAGAACGCAGGAGGAGCTTGACTGAGATAGAAAAATGTTGGTTTTGGTTTTGAGCAGGTTGATTGTGAGGTAACATCTACCTGGTGATGTCATAACTCAGGAAAACTATTTGGAATTCAAGTTTTGGATATGCACAGAGAATTAAAACTAATGTGTTAAAGATAGAACCCAGGTAACACCCATAAAAGGAAAAGGCAGAGGATAGAATGAAATCAAGTTATTTGGGAGCTAAGAATGGTAGAGAATTCAAAATGAATCTGGACAAGAATTTTAAGGATGCACTATATAGTTATATAAAATTTAATGATGGCTGTCTGTACGGAAGCAGAATTAGAGCATCCTGTTCCTTATTTTCAAAAACTTTTTTCCAATGCTTATGTAAAATATTAATGAATAGTTTTAGGAGTAGGGATCAAGTGCATTCTTTATACTGAAGCACTGGAATTGATCCTCAGTTTCATTTGGTCTCCTGGACTCTTCTGAGACTGACACTGGTTACTGTGCCGGGAGTAGCCCCTGGCTACCACTGGTGTGCTGTCCTCCTGAAAACACAAAAATTAACAATAAAAATGAATGATTTCATAGTGCAAGGTCATCACATACTATTAAGCCACATAATTAGAACGTTTTGGAAGTATTTATCAATAACAATAAGCCATCATTGGTTTTCCTGGGCATTGATAACTGTACTATAGCTTAAGGAAGAAAAACGTGTTCTAGAACTGCATACTCAGTGTTTTAAGTAACTCCATACTTAAAAGACCTCAGAGTTGCAACTCCTCCCCACCCAAAAAAAGATGGACAGTATTTTATGTGAACCCACACAGAGATAGGGAATAAAAGATGAAGCTGATGTAATAAAATGTCAGCATTTAAGGAATTTGAGCATTTATAGTGAAGAATATTGGGTACCTTTTTCTATAGTCTTCTTAAGTTTTCTGCAAATGTGAAATGATTTCTAAATGAAAAGTAGAAGTAAATGGAAAGTATAAGTGGCTTTAACCCAAGCAGCTTCAGTGCAAGTGAACTTCATTTCCATTTGTTCACATGGAGTAACATCGTGTCTCCAGTATAAATCCTAGCAGATAAAATATAGTCAGAATGTTCACTGAACTGATGGATGACTTAATGAATAAGGTATATAAATGGTTTGCTTTTTAAAGTTCTTGCAAATTTTATAGATGGGAAGGTTAAACTTTCAGGTAAAACAGGAAAGGAGTGAGGGCTGGATAGATAGAACTGCCAGTGAGAGATTTGTGTTGCATAGGTCCAACCCTTGGTTCAATCCCCAGCATCCTATAGAGTCCCCAAACACCTTCAGGAGTAATCCCTGAGCATAGAGCCAGGAGAAGTCTCTGAGCATCACTGGGGATGGCCCTCAAACCAAAAATTAAAATAAATAAGATAAAAACAGGAGAGGATAAATTATAAGGGCTCATTTTCCTAATGTAGCAGCTATGGCTTAAATACAAAACAGAATTGGATTATCCTAGAAAAGGAGTAACTTTTCCTCAAGACCCGAGGGAAGATGAGATAGAAAGTAGTAGAGATGAGTTTGTTGTAGTGGCTGCGGCAGTACATTGAGGAAATGCATGTCTGGTTTCTCTATTTAAACCCTTTGGTGACTCCTAGTCTCATTTCTAAGTAAAAGCCAAGGTTAGTGACTCTTAGTCTCATTTCTAAGTAAAAGCCAACGTTTTGCAGTTGTCTGCAAGCCCCAGAGACCTTGTTGCCTGCCTCCTGCTATTTCTCCTTCCTGCACACTGTGCCTTCAGCCAGCACTTTGGCCTGGGTCTCCTGTCTGGAGCATTTCTCTGTACACCTGTTTGATTCCTTCACTACTTTCAAGTCAGTGTCCAAGTGTGACCTTCGTGATGTTTGCCCTGATCACTGCCCTGTTGCCAGATCTTTACTACTTTCTGTCTCCCTGACGTGCTACATCCCTTCCTTAACACAATGGAATTTAGAACCTTTTGTAAATGATGTCATTTATTGTTGTATTAGATTTAGGTTGCTCTCTCAACACCCTCCAGAATGTGAACTTGTGAAGGGAAGGATTTTCTCTTTCATTATTCCTTTGTGTCTGAGAGATGAGCAAAGTGGATATGGAATATATTAGACACTTCAATTTCTGCTAGATGAACAAATGAGTGAATGAATCATGATCTCTATTCTTCTCTCTTAAACAACTCAAAATGAGAGTAAATATAGCCAGTGATTATGAAATGATGAGTAAAGGCCAGAAAGGTAGTATAGGGGTTAAAGCACTTGCTTTGCATGTGGCCAACCTTGTTTCAGTTGCAGCATCATGTACGTTCTCCCAAGAATCACCAGGAGTAAATTGAGCACAGAGTCAGGAATAGTCTCTGGAGAACAATGTGTCCCACCCCCCAAAGGAAAAATAACATATGGAGAAGGTTGAAATAGAAAAATAGAATAGAAATAGAATGAATTGGGAACTACAAGACTGTTTGGGAAAAGGTCCAAAGAGTGTAGAACTAATTAGTGCAGTGACTTTCTGGTAGAGCCATTTGACTGTCTTAACAATTCATCAGCCCAGGTGGGAAGACAGCTTGGTCCAAGGTTGAGGATAGTTAAGACATGGAATAGAATTGAAATTATGCGGGGGAAATGGAAAGTCAAAGTATGGTGTATAAAAGGAAAGAGGTTCAGTATCTGTATTGCAAACCATAATACCCGAAAGTAGAGAGAGGAAGAGGGAAATTTTCTGCAATAGAGGCAGAGGGAGGAATTGGTGGTGGAAAATGTGCACTGGTGGAGGGATGGGTGTTCAATCATTGTATGACTGAAACTCAAACATGAAAGCTTTGTAACTATCTCATGGTGATTCAATTAAAAAAGGAGAGAGGTTATGGACATTAGGCTTTTCTCCTTTAAATAGGGCCCCCCTATATTAGTGCTGGAGTGCCTCCGTGTTCACCCCTAGAGATGCCCGACCTACACTGTGGTCTGAAGCTCAGCATCTCATGATGACGATGTAGAATTACTGAGTGGGTAAAGGAAGACATTGTTTGGCAATAAAATGTTCTTTTTCTTCTGAAAAAGACCACACCTACCAGTGTTCAGGGGTTAGTCCTAGCTCTAGGTTTAGGGAACCATGATGGCTGGAGTATAAGGAGATGGACAGTAATGTTTTTGAAGAAGTTAGTGCTTCTGTGCATTTTGATGATGGGATGGAGGGAGTGGAGGGGGTGGCTCATATGTGGTCTTGAACTTGACAACTTTAGAAGATCAGTGTGGAAGCCAGAGAAAATGAGAAAAGGTGTTAGGTATTTATATAATCCTAGATGATGTTGGGGCTTTTCA